ATCATTCCCTGCCTTTTCCCTGAAAGAGAAACAGTCCACCAGCATCCTCAAGACCTACTTGTTCCTATGTGTGGCTGAACAACAACGTTCACATCACTTTCAGCTCAAGACCTCCCTCAAGTTCTTCTTGCTCTATTCCCTCATCTCAGTGTTATCTCTGTAGTCTTCTTTGAATGAGGTCCCCTTGTGGATACTGATGACAGACAAACTGGATGGAAAGCAGGTTGTACACTTCCGGAGAGCAGAAGAGGGGAGGGCAAGATGAAAGAAAGCAGGGGAGAGGAGGCATGAAAAAGTGATTACTACAATGAATTACAATCACTTTTTTTTTGTATTACTGAATACAAGAATGAACATAGATTTTTATATGCCAGGATCATTCCTAAAAGGAAGAGAAAGCTCTGTGATGATTTATTTTTCCTTGATAGTTCTGATACTCTACATTTATACATATGAAAAGAAAAAGTAATTTCGGGTTGACAAACTATTGCATCCCAGTCATAAAGTGCCTAAATTTAACACTGAGTCATTCTCTAGTCCAAACACCAAAATCTTAAAAGAAAATATAGGTCAAGTTTATTTTTTCCTGGTTAAAAACCAGTATATTTCATCGTGAACTTTTTAAAGTAATAACTCATATAAATTTACATTTTACTTTAATTTTGCTTAAACTAATTAGTTCTAGAATCTGATTTGTAAATGAAAATTATGTTACCAAGGTGTACACACACGCACGCACGCCCATGTGTGCACTCACAAACAGACTCGCATCATTTGGGTTTTTCTTCCTCAGCTAATTACATAGAAAATTCCCAACCAGGGCCAGGCTTGGTGGCTCATGCCAGTATCCCAGCACTTTGGGAGGCCGAGGTGGGCAGATCACAAGACCAGCCTGGCCAACATGGTAAAACCCATCTCTACTAAAAATATAAAAATTAGCTAGATGTGGTGGCATGTACCTGTAATTCCAGCTACTCAGGAGGCTGAGACAGGAGAATCACTTGAACCCAAGAGGCCAGGATTACAATGAGCCAAGATCACACCATTGTACTCCAGCCTGGGTGACAGAGGGAGAGTCCACATCAAAAAAATGAAAAAAGAAAATTTCCAACTAGACCATCCTAGTCCATCAGCATCTTATTTTTGTCTTTCCTGCCCTTTAATTACTCTTCTTTGTTTAAAAAACAACAACAACAACAAATGTTTTGTCTGCTCCTAATTGCTGATTGCTCCTCATTTTAACAGGATTTTTAGAAAAGATTTTTTTTTGAATTTTTGCTACTCACACTGCTATTACAACACTTCTTTATTGAAAACAGAAATATGTAATATGTGTTATTTGGCTCTAAAAAGAGAATGACTCTCATTTCTGGAAAGGTTAGACAAATAAACACCTCATAATTATTCGGAGACTTTAGCTTCAGTAGTTTTTTGTGTCTTCTGATAGTTTTGTTATCAACTGTTTCAAAGTTAGTGTCTGTGTACCCTTTTTCCTTAAGTAATCGTGCATATTTCCAGACTATGAGTAAATAAAAACAATAGATACTCTTCAGTCAAAATGAAGTCTCTTGATTTTAGATCTTCAAATAAATCAACATAGTTTAATTCTCTTAAAAGAGACTTGAAAGAAACTATTGGAATCCAATAATCAGTTATGTTATAATACTTTTCACAAGGAAAATTTAAGTCAACACTCTCCTATAAAACTTTCTGCAGGGTTTAAAATGTTTTATATTCAGGTGGTTCACAGTGGTGTCTACCACCACATGCCCTGCTACACATTTGAAATATGGCTACAGCAACAGAAAAAAAAATTTTTTTTACTTTAATTTATATTTAAATAGCTACACGTGGCTGGTCACAGCTTCTTGGAGAATGGAGGTTAAGTAAAAATAAAATATGCAAGTGATAAACAATGTATTCTGTACATTCATGAATTTTGAGGCAAAATTTGAACTGTAGTTTTTTTGGGGTTTTTTTTTTTTTGTCTTTTGTCTTCTTCTTACTCCAAAAGTCACTAAGGAATTTAAATATCATCCCCTTCTCAGTACTGATTTCAAATGGCATTTATAAGAAATAAAAATTCCTGCCTTCATAGTAAGGTAGAAGGCATGTTGTATGAACATGTTTCAGAGTAGTTATTACTTCCTTTAACTGAAAATATTTTGGAATGTAAATTCAGATCTATCTTGCTTATTTTATAAAAAGTTAATAGAACAAATCTCCAAAACCATAGAATAAATCTCCAAAACATAAAAATGGTTGATCTAGCAAGGTAATACTTGCATTATGTGGCTTAAACTAAATATAAAAGAGCATCAAAATTTTACTTTAAATATTTTAGCCATAGTCAAAGTATAAACTCTGAGGGATGCTTTTGTGTTGATGATAAGAAGTTAAGAATTAGAAGAGACCTTAAACCTGTATATATGACAGTGGTAATTGAACTGATTGATTACAACATCTTCTTTCAAATTAATATTGATTTAATCAAAATCTGCATTTCCATTGGCCTCAATGGAAGTCCTAGCAGAAGCCTGGGCACTCAGACCTGGCTAATCTATATCTGGATGTAAATATTTTAAACACGTGACCATTCAGTTATAAGTATGATTTTTTCTTTTTTGGCAAATATTTATTCCTCTTGAATTTCTAAACTGCTCAGTTAACATTGTTATGCCTTCTGTAAAGTTAAGGTCTGTGTGTGTGTCTATCTCTGTATGTAATAAAAAGATAGCATGGATGGGGGGGGGAAAGGTTGTATTTGCATTTGTTGTTTCTGATTCACAGAGCTAGGAGTGCAGTGCTCATGTGGAGTCCACAGGGCTAGGATATCAGTAGGCAGTTGCTGTGAGCTCATGTTCAATTATTAAAATAGTCGACATTTTATGTCTGATAGGCATAGCGAGGTCATGACATTAATTTATCCAAAGTATTGTGGGCGACTGTCTAGAAAAATAAATAGTATAAAGGACACAGATGCCAGAAAGCTGAAGAAGAAGAAAAAAATAGTTGGGCCTGAGCAAAGAGAAATTAAGAGATGACCAATTTATTTAATCCATGAAGGACAGGATGAAGACAGCAGGTGTCTCGATGTTAATGGCAAGCATTTTGAGCTATGCTGTGCATGTGTTAATTTTTGTTTTAGTTTTTCATTAGATTCTAAGCTTGTTGAATACTATTCCTATTCTTCCACGTCAGAAACTTAATTTCATATTTTACTGTTGCTTCAATGCTTAGGGATTCTTGGCTATCTGTTTCTTTCTCTCCTTTTTTCATTCTTCCCTTCTCTCTTCCCATTTCTGTTTCCCCTTCTTCTTCCCTGTTACTGTTTTCCTCCTTGCCATTCGCTCTCGTGAGAGTATATTCTTAATTCTGTTTCCTTCTGGTGCCAACTCCTTTTTCTGTATTTGTTGTTGTGTTTGAGAGGTTTCTTTTTCTTCTTTCTTTCAGATCAGGAGCCTGTAGGAACTGATCTTAGAGATACATACCCACTATTGACGCTTCTGTCTCTTTATGGGTTGTGTGATGTTTTCATTGGAACCTCTGAGAATGGTTGTCCTTCTTGTTTGTTGCCACAGATCTGTTGCCAATCTGCTACCTTAGTTGAGCCTGCAGTGCCGCACTGCATGCTGGGATCTGTCTGTGTGAGTAAACTGAAATTTCTACAGCACCAGACAGCATTAGAGTTGGCTTGAGAATTGCCGTACTTTGCTTCTCTTTGTATGTATTTCTTGTATGCTGCAGAGTCACTGATGGCTAGCTCTGTCTGGCAAGTAATTCAGAAATGCTGTTCATGTAGAAAGGAAAGGTAGGCACTTTACCACACTCTGTCATTAAAGAGAACAATTGAAGAACAAAGGAACTGAGTAAATACCTGTATATTGCCTTTTATGTTGTGAAACACTGTAGCACAAACACAACTGTGTTCAGCCAAATGTTTTACTTCCTTTTGTAATAATGCATATAGTAGATTGTCTCCATATATGTACAAGGATCTATGTTTTATTTAAACATGTGTAGTCAATTGTTCATAGTTATAGGGTGCAAACATCTCAATCTCAAAGACGGTTACATATTCACTCCCACACAGCTATTTTTTATTATTTTTTAAAGTTCTTAACTTAAAATATATATATACTAATATCTCTGTTGGTTGATTTTGTTAAGCAACTAAGGATTTCAACACAGTTTAAATCATATTGATGACTCAGATCCTGGCAGGTCTTATAATTCCTGTGAAATGACAACACAGCTAATAAAAATATTAAGCAATTATTTTTATTAAAATCATAGGGTTTTTTTTTTCATTATCACATAGAAATGATTGATCTATACAGATTGGTCTCACTCGTGTGTCTCATGGGCTGTTTGGGGCTTCATATAGAAGTGGAAAGTCTCCTTTGCTCTTCCTTCGACTAAGGTGGGGAAAATGAAGGCATAGAATAAAGTCTAGGGCTGTTAAAGAATTGCTGGCATTACTCCTCTCTGTCACGTGTGAGCCTGGCTGCCTGCTTCCTGAGGTAGGGGATCCAGGATGAGACTGTGACGGAGCCTGTTTACACAACTACATTTGGAGATCCGTCTTATTGATTAGGGGGAGAAAGGGGTGGGGATCAGGAGTGTGAGGTGAGGGGAGGACCAGCTGACAACTGGCTCATTGAAGCACAAGACATTTTCTTCCGGAAAGATGTCAAACCACTGAGAAACAGCCAGAAAGGAAGTAGAAAGGTGGAAAAATGAGGAGACCCTGGAAGAAATGAAGGCATTTCTTATGAGAGAGCCTTGGGGCTTTTTTCTTTTCTTTCTTCCTTTTTTTTTTTTTTTTCTTCAATCATCTGACCTGTAAAGGCTAGAGTGACAGCGTCATGCAAATGCTGCAGTCCAGCAGGTCTGGGAGAGGGTGGATGCTAGACTGTGAGTTAATGTTAATGATGAGCGCAGTGAAAATACCAGCCGCTGCCACCCCCTGCTCACAGAAGCGCTCTGAGTCAGCATCAGATGCTTTGCCTCGCCTCTCGCTGTGTGCCTGTATGCCTGTGTGCGCGCGCGTGCTCGCTCGGGCATCCGTGTCTAGCCGAGGGGAGGGGGTGGCGTGTGAGTGCGTGGAGGGTAAAAGCCAGTCAGTCAGTGAGAAGCAAAGGTACGTTGGAGAGCAACTAAAATCTGACTGATTTCCATCTTTGGAGCATCAGATGTATTCCCTAAGGAGGATGGGTCTCCGTGATGGGGGTGGTATAATTATGTTAATGTCATATTTATGGAGGGGTGAGATTTTTCATTCTGATAATTGGTTGAATGCTATGGTCAAAAATCGTAAAGCCATATTCAGTTTTAGGGAAAAGCATGGACTTAGATCTAAGGGCTGTTTTATTTTTTCGCTTTTTCTGAGTGCTGCTTTTTTTTTTTT